ACTCCCAATAAGCATCCCCAAGCTGCATGATGTTATAGTCTTCACCAACTTCCGGACTTCTTGTCTTAGAAGATCAGCAGTGTCTATTATATTTTTCCATTGTAAAAGCTTATCTTATGACTATGATTAAAAAAAAAGAAAAGTAAACCAGTTTGAGAAAATACATAAACCTCTCTCTTTCTCCAACTTTCGTGGTATTCGTTCCAATTTCTGTAGTGTAGAATCTTATCTCGAAACGTTCTACCATTTTAGTAACTCTGTGAAACTAACGTAAATTCTTTAATCTTTATAACTGAATTTTCTCTTCCTGACGATCCTGAGTATTTTCCTCTCTGTCAAAAACAATTCTAGTTTGCATAAGGATGGCATCGCTCTCTGTGTGAATATCTCGCAGTGCCAGGGAAATTATTTCTATAGAACGAATGTATGTAGTGCGAAAAATCATTGATGAATTGTTAAGTAAACCTATCTCATACAAAAATTTATTAAAATTCGATCCTCAGTGTTTTCCATATTTTGGTTTTGTACCAGAAAATCTTGGCGACTGAGTTGGTAGAGTATTATCAAGTTTGCCATATTAAATCATTGCCTTGAAGAGAGAGTTTGGTCCTCAAAGAAGTTTTGGAAGCCGACTGCAAAGAATATACATTTTTGCAATTCTTGCTTCTCACCAGTGAAAATAACCAGTATTTGAATGCAGATTTTCAAAGCAAGCACGTTCTCGCAAGCTAGAAGAATGGTGCAACACAATCTTCCTACCCAAATAAACTCCATTTCACCTTGTATTAATGTAAGCTAATCTTAATCATTTTCTCGATATATATCTATTGAAGAGTGAAGCAGAGTGTCATCCCGTTCTAATTAGACGCAAATATATTACTACTTCTCTAACCTTAAAGCGTTTAGTAATTTTTTCATACTTAAATACTTCATGTTCTAAATAGCCACACCACATCGAGATTTTCTTGTGGTATCATGCAGGGTGCCAAACCAGTTCACAAATACCTAAACGCTCTACTGTTTATAAGCGTTTCTAAGCTCAATGGCTTTGAGAGAATGATTCCTGTGGGTCTTGGAGAAGTCTATTCAAACCTTATGGACTGGCGTTATAGTATAACAAAGATTTATAGGAAATTACAGAAACCACGTCACTTGCGAAATTTCAACAGCTAAAATAGCTAGCACATGCAACTCGAAAAGAAAATAAGTACATAGTCAAGATGTTGACTTTTAACACTACTTCAAATAAAAGGTTAGGAAGGAAACCGCCATTAATACTGGAAAGACCGATAACAGCTACTGGCTTTGAGAAATATATTTTCCTGAAATATTTTTTTTAAGAGAAAGATTTTATAAATTTTAACCGTCAGTAGAATAAGCCGTTCTGTCAATGAATACAGAGAATTTCCTTATACGGAAACGACTTAAAGCTTAGGAGAACTGTTACTGCACTATATATACGTGTGTGTGTATATGTGAGACAGAGAGACATAGAGAGAGAGTGTGGGTTATTTTCAAAGAGAATTTAAGCGCAGTTTTAGATTCGCAGTTACGTTTCATCTTTGACATTTAAAATGTTTAGATGATGCCATAAGTTCTATGCTAACAATTCCTTCTCTCCTCACTTGTGGAATTCTGTGATGATGACATTTATTGGACTGAATAACATTTCTCTGAGCTATGACAACACGATAGACAATTATCTTATCTCATTTATGCATTTAGTAGGTGCAGGAATTTTTAAGTTTATATTTCGCATTCGACAACCATAACATGGACAATAAATTCTTTGGAATTTACTGTCCATATTTTGGTTGTCGAATGCGAAACATAAAGTTATCATATCAAAATTCAATCAATAAATTTATCATAAAATTCCAGGTCTTGTAGAATTTTGATATCCTCTGTTGCACATTTATCTCAGTGTCCATCATACTAGGAAGAACATTGTTTTGGGTCAAGTGAAGTGAAAAGGTTTGTGCTGAAAATCGAAATTTTTTTATCATTTCACCCCAAGCAAGGTGACAATGCCACTAGTACGAAGGGGTTAGAGAGAGTTAAAGTGAGTAAAAAGATTGTGTATAGGGGGTGGAACAGGATAAAAGATGAACGAGGAAAAATACAACAGAAGATGGCGATTGACGTTGCATTTAAATTGTTGAAAATTATAGTTATCAGGGAAGCAAGGGAAGAGAAGGAAGTTCCACTGTCGAGAAGTGCGAGAAAAGAAAGTGTTAGAGTAGAAGTGGCGGTTACATTTACCTAATTCAACAGTAAAATGTTGGGACCTAGATGCCAATCTAGTTCACGCTTAAACTCACGGGTACCAGGGAAAAAATCTCGTCAGAGTGGCAACCATGAAAATATTTGTAGAAAAGACAGATGGAAGCCACGTCATGTCAGTGAGAAAGTGACAGAAGGTAAGATACCAAGTCAGGACTGTTTACATTACAGAACCTGCCTTGGATTTTGTCAAGCACCCTCGAGATGGTTATAGGAGCACCTGACAAGATATCTCTATATTATTCAATGCACAGACGAATGGTAGATTTGGGCAAGATGAACCCTGACGAAAATAACATTCTCGTACAGCACAGTCACTCAACATTCCGTAGGATGCAGATATTGATTCGATGTAGCCATTCAACTTCAAGTCAGTTGAAAAAGAGAGACCGAGAAGACGCAGTGTGATGCTCTCTAGGTGTCTAGAATCCCTCATCCTGGTGGCAGGAAGGAAAGTTTCTTTTTGTAGGCATTAAAACTTACGAGCCATTTCTTGCCCCAGTTAACAACTGATTGGAGATCCTTTTCAAGATCAGCAGCCAGGTTAACTTTGTCAGCTCTGATGGATTTGCTATTGAGACAGGAGTAAATGGCATTGTCATCAGAATAAATACCTACGTGGGAACTGATGACATCGAGGCAACCATTCATGAAAATCAGAAAGTGATTATGACCCAGGATAGCACATTCAAATCGACCTTCATTTCACGATTTGATTTGGAACGATTGTATTAAATCAAAAAATCGTCCAGCAATACCGTTGCTCTGGAGCTTACGGAAAAATGAGAGCACTAATCTCTGCCAAACGACCTCGAAATTATCTAAATCAACAGCCTGAGCTTCGATATTATTATCAAGAGTTTGGTGTACATATTCAGTGATGGCCGTTAGCACATCAGCAGTAGACCTGACAAAATAGAAGCTATATTGTTTGTCAAAGTAAGTCGTGAAAGGTAAGATGCTTTAACACTTGAGCATCGATTAAAGCCTCGAATAAGTTGCCGAAAAGCAGTAGGAGACTAATAAGGCGATAGTTAGAAGGGTCAGAAGCATCTCCAAAGTTCGTATAAACAGGAACTACAGTGGAGGACTTCCAACAAGTTTTAAAGCAGATAGCAGAGAGACAATACGGTTTGGAGAGAATAGGAGGCGGCTCGGGAGTACATTTCTTTAGGATGTCAGCTGGTATCCCGTCACCACTGCTTGCTTACGGAAGTCAAATTCCGAAATAATGTCGGAGACTTAGAACGCGGTTATGTACATATCACTCTGTAGAGCCTCTGTTCGAGGACAGAAATCAGGAGTGGGTGCTCTAATTTAGTCGAGTGTTGAGTTGAAAGAGAATTTAGAATTTGTCTTTGAATGATGCTTAAAAAGCAGCAATTTGAACCATCTGGAAGATGCAGAGCAATGTCACGCAGCAAGTAAACTGATCTGTTTGGAGTGCACTTTCAACGAGATAATGATATATTTTCACAGCATTTTTATGGGCTTATGCGGAACTGACTTCCTTATACTTTTGTAGATGCTAATTCTCCAAGCAAAGAAGAGTGTGTTTAATTTTTTTTTAAATATTTTTTTAAGAATTTAATTAAACGTACAAAAACAGAATCTATAGAAATGCTTCGTCTTCATTCTGTTTATTCCCAGAACTTAAATAGAAGTTTAATTAACTCACGGGAAAAAGAAATCCTTGTGAATTTAAAATCAGTTAATCAAAAAAGAAAAAAGGTTTTAATGCATTCTCGGATATCGCTTGATAAATTATTTTTAATTATTTTTTTTAGAAAGATCATTAAATACATTGTTTCTAATTTTAAATTTTATAAATAAAATCGTATAAAATGTTAAAATGAAAATATTATAATCTCTTCCCTCTTCAATTATTTGTACAAATCCGACGGTTTATTCACAGCAGGTTTTTAATGTCGAATAAGGAGAAGCTAAAAATGCTATTATTCATTTATGTTTTATCGAACAGTTACATCACCCTTCTTATCTTTAAAACTCCAACCTTTTCTTACAGGTGGCATCTGGCGAACCTCTCACTGTTTAATCGCTACTATCATGGTATCTGCTCGAACGAACTTCATATCCTGGTTACACAAGGTCTGACCTTCACGGCTCGGACCCGCCATGCCACTTACATAGGAGCAAACCACATGCATTCCCTCCGTATTTCAAGTTTTATAATATAAATAGCATTAATTGTATTGTTCAAACCTAATATCCCATCTTATCCAAGCACTTACTTCCGTATTGAGTATAAAACACGTACATAGGACTTCATGGATTTAAATTATAGATCAAAATCCGTCTTGATAATCTCTGATTCTATATTTTTATCATAATTTTCTTCTTTTCTATTGCGTATTTTTTTTTCCTTTTTGTTTTTGTTGTCTCTTTTGAATTGTGAAAGGTGTCTGGCAACATTGATACGAAACAAAGTAAACGTTTAAAGTTAAATATAACATTGCAATTTTTTTTAAATAATTAAAAGTAGAGTGAGAATTTCTTTCCAGTTACGGTTTTATAAGAAAAGATAGGAACGTTCAATGTCCTTTCTTTCTGAGGGAATTCCAATTGTCTGAGTTCGCATTATTTTCCAGCGTTGAATGTAAATCCTGTGGGACTAGCAAAAGCCTGAGTCTAGAGTTTCAAATCTTTCGCGATAGACGTCTAAAGATTCATTAACCTCTAGTCTGCATAGAGAAGAGTTAGTCAAAAGATTCATGATGTCCTTGCAACCCAAGGAAACATTGGGCATTGATCGCAGTTTTGATAGGTGTAGCACAGGCCAAAGGTTTCAAGGTCTGAAGACAAAAATAAAGGCTTACAAAAAGGCCGGGTGTTGGGAGTTTGATGACCCTTGAATACTCGGGGAGTTGATAACGTGTAAGAGGCTGGACTAAGGCCAAAGAAAATATAAATATCACGACAAAATGAAACCAATACCTTTTGAAAAGATGGGAAAAGTCGAGAATAAAAGAAAGTTATAATATAGATAAAGCCGAGTGTAAAACACGTTTCTTTGTAATTTAGCAGATAGATAGATAGATAGATTGATAGATAGATAGAAACAAACCTAGGTAGATAGATAGATAGATAGATAGACAGATAGATAGATATGAACAAACCTAGATAGATAGATAGATAGATAGATAGATAGATAGATATGAACAAACCTAGATAGATAGATAGATAGATAGATAGATAGATAGATATGAACAAACCTAGATAAATAGATAGATAGATAGATAGATAGATAGATATGATGACTTAGATATGAACATAGAAGATAGATAAAGAGAATTATATATATAGATATATATATATATAGATATAGATAGATAGATAGAGATGAACATAGACTTAGATATGAACATAGATAGATAGATATATATATATATATATATATAGATAGATAGATAGATAGATAGATAGATATGAAGTGACTTAGATATGAACATAGATAGATAGATATGAAGAGAATTATATATATATATATAGATAGATAGATAGATAGATATGAAGTGACTTAAATATGAACATAGATAGATAGATATGAAGAGAATTATATATATATATATAGATAGATAGATAGATAGATAGATAGATAGATAGATAATGAAGTGACTTAGATATGAACATAGATAGATAGATATGAAGAGAATTATATAGATAGATAGATAGATAGATAGATAGATAGATAGATAGATAGATAGATAGATAGATAGGAGATAATTCAGATTTCTTCATCTGGCCTGATTATGAAAACCTACTTAACATCAAAATTTAGAGGGAATGCGTCCTTGGTCGTAATGAGAAAGTGTCAGCGTCCAGTTATAATAATAGATACTGAACGAAAACATGAGTTATAGATATGAATAGACCAACTATGAAAGTAGAAAGAATTGTTCAGGTAATAACCTAGATAGATAGATAGATAACGAACAGAATATATATATATATATATATATATATATATATATATATATATATATATATATATATATATATATAGAGAGAGAGAGAGAGAGAAAATATATATATATATATATATATATATATAGATATAAATATATATAGAGAGAGAGAGTAAAGAGATCCGGGCAGCCTCGGTACGAATCCATATTAATCGATTGGTAAAATAGACACGGGGAGCAAGGAAGTGACAAGGAAACACAAGGTGATATGAGACTTGTAATCAATAATCAATAATAAATGTTGTTTCACATAGCAACTTGTCTGCTTCATTTTACGATTGTAAACAAAATAAATGTCGAACGGAAATGCCATTTGATCCAAGCGGAGACATTTTCGCGGACCTCAGAAAAAAAAAATTACATCACAAAAACAAATTGTTTTCGTTAGTTTCGTTGTGGTGGGGAGTGGGGATTGGATGGGAGCCGAAAGACACAACAAAACGTAATACAATTGTCAATATTTGCATTTCAAGTTGATGTCCCAGCTTATCGCCAACATCAATTAAGACTTGTGGCTTTTATTGTTCTGAAACTTTTGATACCACATGAGCATCGTAGATTTTAAATGTTCCACAAAAAAGAGCCAGTACTTTATTTCGTTTCAAGTATTGACTTACTCACGTTTTCAGAATTCGTGTTAGTTTTTTTTAAAACTTGTTATAAAAGATTAGACTCAACCAATTCCGAAGATCCCAACGATGGAACAAGTGGCTGCTGATTAAAATAGATCTCAACAGTTGATTCAGCGGATAGAGGGGGCTACACATGATAGACATGCTATAGAAGGCGCCACTCGAAATGATAGTAAAGTCAGTGGCAGTCCGCTGCAGTTTCATGACTGGATTCTGCATGTCACATTTCATATTTGCCACAGAGAAAGCTCATGAAATCAAGTGTGTGGGTCACTCCCTGGCAAGATGATGTCCACCTTAAACAAATTCACACCATCAGCATTTTCTTCTACTCTGACTTTCTTTCACCTCCAATCAACTCATTCAAAGCGAGACGGCGATAAGGAATGGATGACGTGAGTAGGTTTTGGCTAAAGTGGAAGCTTTTCGTGCTGAACCCGCATGTTGGGGGAGAATTTAGTTATCAATCATCATAAAGGAAGTGATCAGCAAAGAAGAAATGAAATTCTTGAAAACGAGAAAAAGCCGAATATGATAAAAGACATTTTTTGTCTCGGATATGTTAGCATGCTGAATGCTGCCAAACACAAGGATAATAATTATATGACATCTTTTCTTGTGTTAATATTAGATCCTTTAAAAATATAATTGTTAAAAAAGACTAAATATTACTGAATGTATATATATTCGACTTAAACAATAAAAATAAGAGCTAATGTTTGAGACCCTTCATTATGAAATGAAAAAAAGTCTTACTCGTGTTCATGTATTTAGAGTTGATGTAATTGTTAATCTTGTTATAAAAGTCTTTTAGTTCTCAGATATTTATCTATGCTGTATCCGTCATCACAGATTTGCTTAAGCAGTGTCTGAAATTAAGAGTTAATCATTTTAATTATTTCTAGAATTATTCATATTAGTTACTGCGGTAGCATACCTACGGACGATAATGGTTACGTTCCCATTCGCATAAGAGGTTCCCCAGATAAGGCTGTGTCGAAGGCCCGAGTCTCGTGTCAGGAAACAGCTATCCGATCCCGTTTTATACGGGGTCTATGGAGAATTTTGGGCCGAGCCTACGGGCTCGAATACACCACATTAAATCCGGCCTTATGCCACATCTGACCGCGGAGGTCGGTTGGTGGGTATTCTGCAGATGGAGATTCGTTTCCCGCTGTGTTGGTCAAATTGTCTGCCTCCGGGTAGAGAGGATCACCAGACGAGGCTATGTCGAAGGAAGTGACAAGGAAACACAAGGTGATATTATTATTGGTCAGGTCTCGGGAAACAGCTACCTGATCCCGTTTTATACAGGGTCTATGGGGAATTTTTGGCCGAGCCTATGGGCTCGGATACCCCACAGTACATTTGGCCTTGTACCGCACTGACCGCGTGGTTCGGTTGGTAGATATCCTGCAGTTGGAGATTCATTGTGGAATTAACTTGACTCACTTCTTTCAGTTGATTATTATTCTACGCGCCGCTGGCGAATCTTATATATGTTGTTCTTGTCCTAAGTATTATCGTTCATTACCAAACTTCGTGTGATTATTCTGTTCATTAAACTTCCCTATGTTACAGCAGTTACCTTCAGTGTAACTGGAATATTTTCTAATCGAACTATTATTTTTGAAGTTCGTTTTTGTTTTAAAACCACGTCGCTTCAATTGACTTAGTCTCCGGTTTTCCTCAGATGTATGTTGCAGCGATGTATTAAGCGTAGCGTAGATGTGGAACAATGAGGATCGTACTCCTTATTCATTCGTAATTGATCTCACAAAACAAGGTTGGTAACCATTACACTACGTCGAAGTTTCCCGCCGTAGATATTTGTTGTATGTACTTCGATGTTGTCAAGATTCTTTTTATCAGATAAACTGCAAAAACATTAAGAAAGGCGGGTGTTTAAAATCTATATTACTCACATAAGAAGGCTTTTCTGAATGAGAAATCATGACACGAAATAATTCGCACACACCTAGCAGACGCGGTCGATTATGTATTCGCCAGATTATTGTATGAAAATATAATGCTTTGCCATTGTTATATTGAGCACTTTTTCAGTTTCCTATGGGAGTTGTTTTTCATTGCATGATGAGTATATAATGAAAAGAGTGATGTTGCTTATATATGTCTTCTCACTGTATGAAGACGGCATCCGAACTACCAGTGGTAGATGTGGAGGTCTTTCACACCTCCGGAAGCATAATTCTAAATATGAGAGTGTCTTGAACAAATGACACGATCCAGCTAAGAGATTCGGAGTCTGTCTTTGCATCATGCAATTTGAAAATCTGATGGTAAGATGATCGAAATATATCCCGTTTTTATGATCTCTGATATTGTATACAGTGTAAAGGTTTCCCATGTGGTCCACCCAAAAAATATTATCCAGACTCGACGCTATTTAAATTCGATGTTCAAAAGCATACCAGTGCTTTCAACGTGAATCAATCTTTCCATTGTCCGTAAAATAATATACACGTGGGAAACTCAAAACAACCGTCAGCATGTCAATGCGAAGCCATCATTTCAGGTCCATGAGCAGATTTTTTTTACATTAATGTTTACACCGTACAAGGGCCAAAACCGACACAAAACAGAGGGTTACAGCGTAAGAAGTAAGGGTCAGAGATTATAAGGATTTGTGAGGATGATAGCGGTTCGGCGAAAGAACCTACACGCGTGGAACTTACATCTCACCAATGGAATGCAAATGAAATGAGGTTAGCACCTTACAATCTGCATGACATGGCGGATCATAGCCGTGAGGGTTAGAACTGGTTGAATTAAGGAATGTCTACTCCATGTAGCGAGAGGCCTGCAATGTTTCGTCTTTGGAAAAGGGATAGTAGGGTGGGAAATGACTAATTACCCACAAGACCATATAGAAGCTTTGCGAATCTATGCCATGCTTATTGTCATATATACAGGGTGCGATGGATAATTTGTCGTCGAAATTAAACAAAAATGAATATAACAAAAACATATCATTTAAACAGATATATTTTCCAAAATTTCACAAAAAAATATCTTGAAATACTAAAGAGAAGATTTTATCAACAAAATCGCCATTAGCTTCAACCATGGCCTCACGACGACTTCAGAATCTCTTGCAACTCTTTTAGACTGTCTCCTTCTTTAAGTTGATGAATAGTGCCATAATTCTTGCCTTCAGTTAGTTTTTGGTTTTACAAGGAGTTTTATTGGTCACTCACTCACCTCGCCCCCACTCATAATAATCAAAGCGGTAGCAATCTGGGGAGTTAGGTGGCCAGAAGTCAGGCTGATGTGATCGCAGAAATAATCCGACAACCATGACTGGATTCTCTTCATTTTGTTACATGGTGCAGAATCCTTGTTGCCAAAAATAAGTTCTTCCAACAGCCACTATCTTGACCCAGGGTAGCACTACTCCCTCAAGGTACTTGATGTAGGCCTCCATGTTGAGACTGTGGCTCTCACCAACAAATTCTGGAGATATTTACAGATTATAAATATTAGAGTGATTTTCCCACAATACAGCATCTTCGTAATCACCATCACACACATCCCAATCTTTCTGAATCATTCGCACTGTCCTCAGATTGACGCCCAAACACTCTGAAATGTTTGTATTGGAGCCTCCCAGGCAAATGCCAAGCAGTGCAACATGGTACTTCCAAATTTCTGGCGGAATGAATTGCGTTATGGTATTCTTTTTCTCACAGTCAGTGCCAAACTGACCTTATTTTGTCTACTGCACAGCAGAATAAGGTCAGTTTGGCATTGACTGATATATATATATATATATATATATATATATATATATATATATATATATATATATATTATTGGTTCAGAAAATATAATGTTCACCTCTATTTGATGATTTTATACTATTATTAATTATTGATTGATTTTTTTATTATTATCATTTAAAGTATATATATATATTTCTTAAAGTGGTTCATTTGATGACTAACTATTCGCTCTGACATCCAGTGTAAAACAAATACATAGATAGATAGATAGATAGATAGATAGATAGATAGATATGTATTTGTATGTGTGCCTGTGTGTGTGTGAGTGTGTATGTATGTAATAAGGGGATCAGGAAAGATGTATTACCTTGGACGTACTTCACTTGTCCCAAATTATC